TTAGTGCTTTTCTTCAGTTAAGCAGGTATGAACTTGTAGAGTATGCAGACAAGGTGGCACATGCCTATTTTTAATAGTCTTGAAGTAGGAAAACATCGTCTTACAATAAGAGTGACTCATCTAGAAATGTAGTTAAGATCAGGTTAATACAAAATATCCTAAAAAATTTCCATTAGGACCACTGCCCTTGGGGTAGGTATCTTTGAACTCTAGTTTTAACATGTAAACTTTAAACAGTGCTTCTCAGTAGAAGTTTGTAACTTAGAGTTTGACACTCTCTCCTCCTCCTTTTTCTTTTCTTTAGGGCCCCTTTTCTGCAGTGACTTTCACAAAAGCGTGCACTTGCAGGTTGGATATTTTGCCCTCGCATTTGGCTAAATAAGTATCTGCTGATGTAGATATAATTATGTTTTGCAAGTGCCAAGAAAAATATCAAAATGCCTTCAAAATGTTTATGACGGTCAGGAGCTATGTACTATGTTTTGTGTTATATGAAAACCCCACATGACTTTTTATTAAAAAAAAATAAAAATTGACATGAGCCTTGTTTATCAAAGGACAGATACCTTACTCAAGGTAGGCTGCATTTTCATAGTCACACTCATTAACCAGTAACTGTTCTCTGCTGGGAGGCAAAGAAATAGACAGGCAGGTGGCAAGGTACTCCTCAGAATAGTTATTGTCAGGTGAAAACAACCCTCTTCCTTGTCTTCCACCACAAAATCTTCCTCTCTTTGTGTACTGTTGGGTTGGTAGGGGCAGGGTCAAGTTAGGCTTTTGGGTTTTTTGGCTACAGAGAAATGTGGAATGGGTAAACAAAAAATAATAAGATATTTTTGGCTACCTATGTTATATGAATAACAATTTCAACTCTGAGCATGAATGAACTAAGTATTTGACAGTACTTATTTCATTTTTACTGTGTTTACAGTGGTAGAAACATCTCTGTTAATGAGATACTAAAAATGCCAGGGAGAACCATACTGAATTTCCAGACCAGTCAAGCCATTGCTGTTTAGAAAGTGAAAATGCAATTCTGATAAATTAATTTGCTATTTTGAATTCACTGCAAAATTCAGAAGTATTTTGATGAATAGGACGTGCTTCCAAAATAGTAGGAATTTTGATGACAGACCAAGAATAGCATGGTATGAACATAGGATTACAAAAACAAGTGCATGTATGCACATATATGTGCAATTAAGAGAAAAAAAATATGTCTCTAGGCTAAAACGTATTTGCCATTCATATGCATTTTTATTCTTATGCTGTTAATTCCCTAGGATATGATATTTATGCTCTTTATTCAAACATTTATTTTAATTGCTGCTTGTTTGTGGTGTGCTTTTCAGGGTAAACTGTTAAGTCATTCATTACAGTACACTTAATACATTATCTGACTAAGGTAGTTCCATAAACTTGTACACATTTTGATTTATAATTTTGGAGGAGATCCTAGGATAAAGACTGTATCAGGTGTTACTGAATAATAATGTGATCTCAAACTTACAGGGTATCAAAGAAGGGCACAGAAAAAATTTAAATTAAGTTTTCTGCTGGGGAGAGAAGGAGGTTTAGTGGAACAAATCGTGCAAGGAATTTATCTTTAATGATGAAAATTCCTACCCCTTTCCTGATAGAGAAATTTAATTTTTAACCTAACAAAAATTGGCAGTGTAAAGTTTTAACTATTTTTAATTTTATGCAAAAAATATTATCTGAGTGGATGTTAGATATGATGAGGTGTGGGGAGAGTTACTCCCTAATCAGGGATAGCTGTAAAGAAGCCAAGAGTAAATGGGAGGCTTGTATTGGGAAGAGAAGGTTTCCAGGGAAATAATAAGCTTCAAGTAAGCGGCAGAAGAGGAAGCCAAAGCAAGAGAGGTATTTTGATAGGTAATGTAATAGTGAGGGAAAAAGAAGAATAAAAGGTTGGGCAGATGAAAAGGAAGGTATGGTTTGAAAGTAGGGAAGAAGAGTAGAATAGTGGTGGATAGTGGGAGAACAAGAAGTAACGGGCAAAAACTGAACCAAGGGAAGTTCCAGCTCAATAAAAGGAAACACTTTTACTGTGAGGACAATCAAGCAGTGAACAGGTTGTCTGGAGAGGTTGTGCAGTCTCTGTCCTCAAAAGATTTTCAAGTGCTGGGGGATAAGGGGCTGCGTGACCAGGCCTGACCTCATGGGTGATCCTGTTTTGAGCAGGAGTTTGGACTAGAGACCTCCTGAGGTCCCTTTCAGCCTGAATTATCCAGCAGTCAGATTAAAAAAAACCCAAATTTTGTTACCTGAGTATTAAAATTCTTTGTGACGTGGCCATGATGTGGCTTTCCAGAATGATTCTTATGTTCATCCAGACAGACTCCTGAAAGCCAGGATGGAAATGTTGCATGCAGTTAGCTTTACTAGCAGTCAGCAGAACTCATTAAATCAGTGGAGTTAGGGGCCAGCGCTCCAGCTGTGCTCACTGGGTACAGAGAGCTCCATCAGCCTCCCAGAGGTGGGACACAGGCAGTCTTGGGGAGGAAGGCTCCTTTGAGGAAAGGTGCAGGCAGTCTAAATTAACAGACTGATCTTTTTGGAAGATTCCACTTGAAACAGTTGGAATTTAAATGGTAACTGAGTTTTAAACCTCAATAAGAACAGAACTGTTAATTTGTTATGATGATTTTATGAACTATAGTTTCCTAGACTTCCTTTATTCGTTTTTCTTGATCAGTTAAAATCATACAGCATCTTTTCAATGTGTGTATTATAATTATTTCAATTTTTTCATATTTTATTAATAGACTTTCCCCCTATAACATTACATTTCTCCTCCAGATTAAAAGTACATTTTTTCATACTTCATTCAATTTTACTTTCTTCTTTATTAAATTTAACCTGCAAATCTTAGTTGCTCTTTTGGTAGTCATGTCTCCTTTCTCATTTACATCACAGGAAGTTAGAGATGTAAGAGGGCTGGGGAGCAGAGTGGGATGGGCTTTCATAGTTGCAGTCTTTGGGCAGCCTCTTGTGAGGTTACTTTTGCCACTTGCTGTCGATAACAGACTTCTTTTTAAAAAGAACTGTCTGAGTGTAAGTTATGGTGCCTTTTCAGATTCCACAGCCTTCTTCCACATGTGGATTTTTGTAATAGCTCCAATTTGACCTTCTTCATTAAATTACTTAGTTCCATAGAATCCAAGTTCTTGAAATCTGATATGCCAGCCTGGTTTATTGTGTATATCTATCATGTATCTGCATTCCATGTACAGTACTAAATTCAAGTGGCTCTTGCGCTCTGATTTCAATCTACCCACCAGTTTCTTTCTGCTGATAAGAAATTAATTCAATATGGTTTCCCATTGACCCATTTTTTAGACTGTAAAGTTACTCTGTATTAAGTAGAAGCCAACTTTGATGCATGTTCAGTATATTTTTTTGCCCCGTGAATCTATGGGAAGATAATTTCTTCCATGGTTGTGGTATCCTGTGATTTCCAGTCCTGTGAGAACTGGCCATGCATTTTTTTAATTCTCGCTTTCATCTGGTTGTGATGGTTTATAAGCAGATGTTTATTGTTCTCTCTTTCTTCTCCCCTCCTCATTCTTGCTAACTTAATACAAAGCCAGTTGCTACCACTATTTTTGTTATCACATTATAAATATTGGATATAATAAATGCCCATGATTCATAAAATCATTGTAATTATCTTTTGGGATTCTCAGTGGTTAATTCACTTTTCCTGCTCACAGAAAATTGTTTAAAAATCACAAGTCACTTTTGAGTAATTTTAACTCTGCCGCAGCTTTGAAATTAATTTTCTATCTATTTTTGTAAAGAAGTCATTGAGTTTACAATAGAAAGTGAGATGTTTACTTAAGTAATGCGTCTGATTGAACTTATTGTGTGGTATGCAATTATAAAAAAAAACCCTTTCCATATGCAGCAAATATGTATCTTTATATTCAGACTTGTTTGAAGAGCAGTTAGACCATATTTTTATAATTTCTTTTATGTCTTTCACTTCTAATTTATTTTGTGGTGGTGTTTGGTATATTTCTGTCCCTGAAGTTTCACTGAAGTCATTGCAGATTTCATTGAAGTTAGACTTTTATGAAATTTCTAGCTGCTTATGGAATGGCCACCCCAAATACATTGGAAATCTTCTGGTTTGGTCTGCATATTAATTTAATATCTAAAGAATGAAATCCTGAATTAGAAGTGAGAGTTCCAGACTTGAATTATTTTTATTTGTTTGCTTAAAGAAAGGAAAATGCTCACTGAATCTTGAAACTAGTCAGTAACAAAAGAAAATACTAATTTTCTGAAATACTTGCTTTATGGAACAGATCAGGCAGTACCTTGAAACTATTGTTCTTGCTATCAACAAAATACTATATTTTTCCTGCATCAGTAAAAGATCTAAGAAGTTCCCTATGCTAAGGTCATTGTCACTGACTCTGCAACTTTTTTGAGGTGAACAATTGTATCTGCTGTCTTCCTGAACAATATCTTTTTTTTTTTTTTTCTGTTTGTTTTTCTGTTTGTAGTATGAATTGTTGGGAAGAGGATTTATGCTATCTCCTGGATTTTTTTGCTTTTCTAAATATTGCTGACACTGCATTTAGTGATCTGTTATAGTATGGGTGGTATGAAGTTTTCAAAGAAGTATTTTCTTGGTTGTCATCTAGTGTCAGTAATGTGGACCTGAATAAATACATTTTTAAAGAAGTCCCTTATTTAAATGGCCTTTGGGGACAGGCCCATTGTGATGTTTTAATGTTGTACAAAATAATATAAAATATAATATGAATTTTAAATTTGAGATGTGTGTTATATAAATTATGTAGTTGTATTAACTGTGCCGTGAAATAAGTCATATTAAAATTAAATTTACGGCTTTTGAAAACGTTCTGTCAAGAGACAGCGATATATGGATTGAAAGTAATGTTTAGCAGATGAGTAATTTTGATTGATTTATCTTTACATGAAATACTGACATTTTTTTCTTGATCACAGACAACCTATCACAACAAGTTTGTGTTATTACCAATGCGAAAGAAGCTGTTGCACAAGTAGGTTCTCTCCTTCATGAATCTCTGAAAAGCCAAATAAAAGTAAGTACAACTCTATGGCTCTAAACTGTATGATTAACTTAATGTTTCTGGTTGTCAGAACTTGTAAGAAATGGTCTAAATAATGTGAATACAGAAACTGAGACCTCCTGTGTCACTGTAGTATTTATTACAAGGGATTAACACCAGGTGTGGAAGTTACCAAGAAAGAAGCATCTTCTGCCCAGTTGTGCTGTAGAGGGGGATCTTACAGATCGTCTTAAAATGTATATATTAGATTAGAGGAGAAATTGGATCCAGACAAAAGAGAGGCTATTTTCTCTAGATTTTATGAGTTCAGTAAGCCCAAATTGTTGTAAATAGAGGAAATGCTTTTGTTACTTTGAAGTCTGAATTAAAGTCTGAACCAATTAAAGACTAAGCTGTATTCCTGCAGAGCTGTGAATGCAAAGTCAAATTAATCAGGCTTTTTGCAGAAAGATTAGGGGTACATTTCACTCAGAGTTAATGCGCATTGAAGCCTTTACTGAAGGAAATTAATGGAATTTTATACTGGCATTTAACTATATTTTCCTTTTTGTATTCCTACTAATAGAACTATCATGTATTTTCATTTTCCCAAAGATGATTAACATTAGGTAGTTGCTTAAATCTTGACTGATCTTGGAGTGATTCTTAATTATATCTGGTGTGATGATATCGGATCCTTCTATGACCTGGAGGAACAGATGGGGAATAACTGTTCAAAAATACAGGTTTCCTGATTTGCATGATGTTACTTCTGTAATGGTTTTCACAGAATCACAGAATGTTAGGGATTGGAAGGGACCTCGAAAGATCATCTAGTGATCATCTAGTCCAATCTCCCTGCTGGAGCAGGAACCTAAATGAGATCACATAGAAAGGCATCCAGGTGGGTTTTGAATGTCTCCAGAGAAGGAGACTCCACAGCCCCCCTGGGCAGCCTGTTCCAGTGCTCTGTCACCCTCACTGTAAAGAAGTTTCTTCTGAAGTTTAAGCAGAACCTCCTGTGTTCCAGCTTATACCCATTGCCCCTTGTCCTACCATTGGAAATCACTGAGAAGAGCCTGGCTCCATCCTCCTGGCATTTTCCCTGTACATATTTATAAACATCAATGAGGTCACCCCTCAGTCTCCTCTTCTCTAAGCTAAAGAGACCCAGCTCCCTCAGCCTTTCCTCATAAGGGAGATGCTCCACTCCCTTAATCATCTTGGTGGCTCTGTGCTGGACTCTCTCGAGCAGTTCCCTGACCTTCCTTAACTGTGGGGCCCAGAACTGGACACAATATTCCAGATGTGGCCTCACCAGGGCAGAGTAGAGGGGGAGGAGAATATTTCTCGACCTACTAACCACACTCCTTCTAATACGCCCCAGGTTGCCATTGGCCTTTCTGACCATAAGGACACAGTGCTGGCTCATGGTCATCCTGCTGTCCATCAGGACTCCCAGATCCCTTTCCCCTACACTGCTCTCCAATTCATGTCTGTTGCTCTTACGCATTGTGTGCTTAGTTAATAGTAGGATGTTCTTCTATAGCAAACTATATTGCTATTTTATATCTAGAAATGTCATTTGACATTGTACTTACAGTTTTTGTTTGAAAGAATTGTATTTAGTGTGGAAAATCATGCTTTACATCTATTAAATGTCTACATTTAAAAGTGCAAAACATCAACAGAGTTGAATAAGATCTTTTCTTGTCTAAATAGCTGTATAATGGAGCAGAAGTATGTTTTCATTTAATCGATACTAAATCCATTGCTGTTTTTTCTTTTTTCTCTCCATTCTCTCCAAACTATTCTGCAATTACTAGGAAGACATCACTTACCCGTATTAGAAAAAATGTACTACTTTAAGTGTTGTTTTATCTATACCTACCTATTATGTTTGCATATAACCACTTTAATCATACCATGAGAAACACTTCCAAGCCAGTCAGAAAAGTCAAATAATGTGTTACGTTTGATCAGCCAACACTGTGACTCCAAGCTTAGCATTCTCAAATCAAACTGACACCAAAACTAGTTGAAATTTACAACATGTTTCCAAATTTTCATTGCAAAACTAGTTAGTTGTTGTGTTGGTCAGGCACCGGAACCTATGGTACATTTGAATAAAATGCATGTAAAATGACCTCAAACAAGGTAATGAGGGCATAAAATGAAGAGATTCCTACTGATATGGGACTGAATTTTTTTGATGGCTTGATTTATTTAGTTGATGATTTCTAGCACCGTTCTCTTTTTTTTGAACCATGTTGTCTTTCCTCATAATGAAGTTAAATGCTAAATTTCTCTTCAACGCCTTCAAAACACTCCTGCAAAGTGACTCCTGCCAAAGAACTCCATCAAGGTCCCTGACTTGTCTTGTTCCTTGAAACATCCTTAGTCATTCATTTTATTAACCCTTAGATTGTGAATGTATAAAACCTAATATTGAGTATGTATTGTGTCCTGTTTTTAAACAGTAAAATCTCCAAGAGTTAATTTTTAAGCTTACCAATGTACAGAATTTAAAGCACCTTAGAGCATATTCACTGGCCTGTGATTTCTCAGGTGAAGCACAGTAACCTTGTGAGAGAGATTTGACTCTGTACAACATGATAATTTAGTTATTTTAAGCAAGTTAAATGTACCACACTGAAAGCTAAGTGCTAAGTGGAGGCTGAATAGTCTAAATAAGACACTAATTGGGAATCATTCAGCAGAATACGTATTAACTGAAATTTAAACTTAACTATGGTCAATATTTTAACATTTTAGATAGGTTTGACACTCTATTTCTTTGTAGCAGCCATATTTATTTTTAAGATATTTGTTAACTTCTGGATGTGTCCTTAAAGAAGAATTAAAAAGAAACTTTGTTAGAGGGGTTTCTGAGACAGACTCCAGTAATGTGATAATGCCAATAACAGGGGAAAAAAGACCTAAAAATTAAACTGCTGAGATAAAGAAAATGAAAAGAAAAGCTTCTCAAAAAAAAAAAAAATGTTAAGGCGACAGTTAGACAGTTATTGCCAGCAAAGTATTTTCAGAGTATTTTAATCAGTGTTACTGTAAACTGATTAACTAATAAATGAATGTTTTGCAGAAGATATCTTACTGTGAAAGACATAAGTTGAGTTTTTCCTTAAGTTTGTTGATTAGCCTTTTTTGTTTTGAAACAAGCAAACCTAAATGGAGGCTGAAAGTGCTTTCCTCTGTGACTGGAAATTATGTACTCCTGCTTATTCAGTGACAAGGTGCTCCTGTCAGATAAAATGTAATCAGATGGATGAAGTTGTGTGTTATTTTTCTGACTGCATAAATATCCACAAGCAGTATATAAACATATTTGGTTGTTTTCAATTAGGAAATGAACTAGTGCTTCACTAGTAGGAATTCACAGATTTCTTAATCATTGCACTGTCTGTCTGCTGGATTGATATTAATTGTGATTTTTAAATTCTGATATAATTTAACTTTCACAGATTCCCAGTGTCCTGGTATTATTGTTTGATTTTATGAAGGTGGATGTTGAATAAAGTTGAGACTTCAGCATAGGGCATCTGATAAGCAGAAAACAATTAAGGAAAACGTGTTTATTATTCCTATCTTCATAAAATCTTACCATCTCTGCTTCTTTACACTAGCTGAATATCAATTGCTACAATGACCAGAAGTGATTAAGCTAATCCGTATACTTTTTTTCTATTTAAACACTGAAATATTACGTGACAAAGACTTTTTAGTGAAGTGGTATTTTTAGGTAATTTTTGCTCTCTCAAGTAGCTGGTAACTTTGATTAATATTAATTTTAATTAAAAAAATACTTTTGCATAGGATACTAACATGCCAAATAGAATATAAGTAATTTTAGTTAATTGATGATGTATTTAAATTTCTAATTTGGCAGCTGTGCTTACTTTTGCAAGAGAAAAATCTGATTTAATTTTTACTGGATAATATGGCTGTAAAACAAAGGCTCAGTGTACTGCTTTATCAAATTGTTCAAGTTAAATCAAAACTCTGATCCACTAAATTAATTTTTAAATGTTCAGGAATACTTAAACATCATGTATTGTAATATCTCAAGGGGGAAAAAAAAAGTAGGCCTTCTCTCTTGAGTCATGTTCTGTTTACCTTCTGAAAAGACTCTGGCATGCAATATGCTCCTGTTCATCTAAGTATGTGCAAGGTTGTGAAGGTACTGGGGATTTCTGATTTTACTTCTGCAGGAGTTCAAGCTAGAAGAGCCCTGGAGTATTGCATTTTTAAAGTATTTTAAGTAATTCTTGCCTTCTGTGATTTTTTTTTTTAATCTCTTTAAAATATTAAATGTCAACTGTGTGGGGCTGCATTATCAAATTTAAAGACCAAAATGTTTTTAAAATCTTTAATGCATAAATACCAGCTTTTGGGTTTCAATGCACCTTCCTTTGCAAACAAGTTAGCTCCCCAAGTATTACAAAAATAAACAAATACAGCTTTAGATAACAGTGCGAAGCCTTTTTGAATGTTGTATTTGGTACGTCTGTTGGACTGTGGAGTAAGTGACATTTTGAGGGAACACAGCAGTGTATTCCTTCTGTTGTTTGCTGCTATATATAATATGTCTTCTGGGTAGAAATAAAGCTCATTTGGGCAGTGGAACAATGTGATTTGCTGATTTAATAGAAATAACATTAAGTTTGGGGTTTTTTGCCTTATTTTCAACTTTT